TATATATATATATATTGCTGATCCATCTTCCAGTTGTCTAAGCTGTCCAGTTTATGTGATCTCCCCAACTAAATTCTCCGGGCCGACTCATCTCGGCGACCGTTAAAAAATATGCGGTCTCCTATGAATGCTTACCTTCATCTGCCCGACTCGGCCAAGTCTTGCAGTATCCATCTGTGAAATAAACTCCACCAATAGCCGCGAAATCACTTGCGTTTTCGGTAAACTGAGCTTGTACTGTTATCTATGGAAAGAAAATGTAAGTACCGTCGTTGGTGGCATTCTTTGCTCTGATGGTAAGATTTCGCATCCAGCCATTCAGTTCCTGATTCCTTATCCAATGGTGAGMCACAAAGCGCCCCTCCATTGAAATTAAATGTCACATTTCAGCATATAGTTTTAAGTTAAAATTGAAATTGCAAAAGTGTAATTGAATTTACAACAGAATAACATGTAAAAGTTTTATTTTACTTTGTAGGTTGTTTTCCATTCTGTTTCATGCAAACAGAACGTGAACGCCAAACTACCCAAGCTATCTTCGGCTTGTCTTACCTGTGTCTTGGACACTGCTGCGATAGAAATTTGTCCATAATACCAGACTGCTTTCGTGCTATTTCTATCCGTCCATACTGTCTTTTTTGCCATTTCATCACCAAAAACTGACTGAAATATCTGAACACTGGAGCCTTGTCCATGAATCAAATAACGAAATCGCATGCACTTGCCGTATTCTTGATCTGACCGATCGATCCATGGACTCACAATTTTAGTGCTTTGCGATGAGTCCAAAATTATCCCCTCTATAACAAAACAGACGTATTCAATATGACGTATGTGCAATGGTATCAGTACACTGACAAGGATTAAAAAAGAATCAAAGAACAATAATCAAAATCTGTTAAAAWATATATATATTGAAAATATTCTAGATTGGTATCACGTGGTGGTTAGAGCTCCCTTGATTCCCATAGCAAAACCTAACAAGCTGAATTCCAATTTATTTCGATCAATGAGTCAGCCGTGCTCTGACTTAGAATAGACCAGAGGTCGTTGCAAATTTTTCTCCTTTATAAAATGAATATGGGGAGTGGAAGTGTAAGGAGGTTGGAAATCGGATGCAGTGATGTACCTCGAAGGGAACCTTGTGTTCTACTGTGCAGAAGCAGCTCAGGTTGTGGGAAGAATATGAGAATCAAATCAACCGCAATAATTATTTATCACCTTTCTCAAAGAAACACGATGAATTTCTGCTCAGATAATAGTTGCCAGTCATGGTCGTTTGCAATTTCTTCCACGAGATGACGTCACCATGTAGCCCATTTCCACCACACCCATAGGACATGCGCAATATCTCTTGTGGAGATGATGTTTCGGTCCAGACATTAACCTCTGTAAGTTGCAGCTGCTTATATGATGCATTGGAATAGCTAATGTGGTAGCTTACGATCATCTTGTCGAGGGCTGTTAATTGAAAGAAAAAGTTTATATAATAAACCCTTTCCATTAGACTTGATGCAACCCCAGCAAGCGCTTGGTCGCTCAGCCACAACAAATATTACGCTCACTTTGCCAGCAACCAGCAACTTCTTTATCACTGAAGATGGCAGTTGATCTGTCAAAACATCTTTGACTAAAAAATTTCAAACTCAAAAGTGCAGTTTATTCATTGAAATATTAAYCAGCAAATTAATGCAAATTCAGGGAAGAGACTTGTCACTGAGTCAAAACATAATGATCAATCCTTACCAGGTAATGTCTTAAGTCCACTCAGCCATCTACCAAAACTTCCAAGTCGTCCATCAAGGTACATTTCCCATACACCTCCCTGAGATTTCCACGTAAAGCAAACATGGTGCCAGCGGTCATCACATATGCACTGGTCAGCGGTCCTGCAGCAACAATATAACAGGGTGACAAGATTGTCAGTCGAGTAGGGAATACAAAATCTTGATGTTTGTAGCATACAAGACCTTTTTAAATACATTATATATGGTAGTCAGACTGTTATTAGTCTATCTACCCTCCAGACTCAATCGAGTCTTGGTTTTGGACGCACAGAGAGTGGGGTCTATATATGGCCTTCTTCTACAGACCTCTTTACCATGTGTCATTCCCTAGAGTATTATTTCTTTGTTTAACGGTTGTGAATGAGAAGACACATAAATATGGATGACTCAAACAAAGTCTGAATTTCATTTTCAAGAGAATGACACTTGGTCTGAAATGTGAAAACATTACGACCGAGGTAACTGAAGCATTCTGTATAAGGAATGATTTCAAACTAGTTATTTCTACCTTTGATACAACATATAATAAAAATGTTTTTTTTACAATGACATTTTAAATTAAATATGTTATCATAGTACTGTAAAAATTTCAACTTACGCCGTGCTTCCAAGAATGTATATTTGAAATTTGCAGTATTCCTGTGTAATCAAAATGGAGGGTTTACCAGATATTTCGAGTGCTATGACAATTCCAGGAAGTGTGCACTTTGTCCAGAAACACAATGAAAATGATGTTGTTGAATGGAACATTATATGAGATGTCATTTGAGCACCATTACTAAAATGTACTACTGTTTCCTTGAAGGTCAAATCAGGTGTCAGATCACCTAAAAATAAACGTTTATGGTCATCTATGCAATATATAGATAGTAATTCAGCTGTCGTTGTGGTCATTGTTTTCCCATTAAGGCGCGATTACACCGAGCAATTTTCTAAGCAACGTGTTTCGCAACGGCGTTGCCACCCAAGTTTCATTGAGCATTGCAGCGTGTGACCTACAGCGCATTTTGARAAAAAAAATTGCGAGACAAGTGGTAGCAATCGTTGCAAAAAGTAGAATTYGTTTCTACTTTAGACAAAGAATGTGTCTCAGTTGCACCGTGTAGACATTGTTGTAACTTGTGTCGCAATGCTGTTGCGAGACAAGTTTCAGAGAAAACTGCTCCGTGTAATTGCGCCTTCACAGACCAAATTACCGATGTGATATTAACCCACGGTCCACGCAATTATGAACAAAAAGTGGACGTCATGGCATGGTTTCGCTATTTTACCGGCGCCTGTTGATGTACCTACCGTGATTGATTCTCACAATTCTGTCTTTAAGTTCTCGTGTAACATTTGGCTTGTTCCTCGACATCAAAGAATAATTGCTATTTTGGTTTCCGAATTTATTCCAGGTGCAAAGCTCCTCATTCTTTTCACAGTTTCCTCGGGGAAAAAATGATAAAAATATTGTCAAATCTTATAAGAATTCGAAGTACTCATCATTTTCAATCGTGATGTATCAAAAATTTTACTTTTTTCAGTTTAAACGTTTTTCGCCATTATTTTTCTGACTATTGTATAACCAAGACTGAATACTATATACAGTATACAGGGACGAAAATATCCCTTTGTACAGACTTTTAAACCTGTTTGACTCCGACCGTATTTCAAAAACGTTGTCATCGTCAAAGCTGATAGGCAATAAGCGATAAGCTAAAAGCGATAGGAGATAAATCATTCCAAGATACAAGAATAGCTGGAATGACTTGTGTTTCTGCTTCTTATTCTCGTCAAGAACATGGACCTTAGTGTTGAGACTGATCCAATTTCCTTTGTATTCMACGACTAAACCATTTCCATGTCGGAATGATCTATCGCCTATCGCCTTTGGCGATGACAATGTCTATTGAAATAGGTGTATATGTATACAAAGTACCAATTTATTTATTCATGTGCTATCATTTGGTACAATGTCCTACCTCTCACAAGCCTTTGGATATCTACTTACTTATAATTCGGTAAACTTCATTGGCTAACACTCCTCCTCGTCCATCGATGCCACACGCCGATGTTTTTCCATATTTGGCAAATGAGGTATTCGCCGTGGAGCTGCTCAAGCATTTGCCATTCTGAATAGCAAATACGTCAAAGCCTCGTTTGTATGCTGCCTCTGCACATCTCAAGATGGCGCCGGACCTTTCGTAATAGTTTCCTTCAAGCACTTTGTCGATGTTTTCCAAAGATGGAATAGCAGCTGGACTTGAGTCTTTGAAACAACCGAGGTTTTGTATCTTTGCGATATCATTCTTGACTAAAAACAAAAATAGGCCCTATAAGTGCAGCATGCCGTGTAATATTATTTAAGTAAATGCAATAAGGAATTGTATAATACGAAGTGCAGAAGACACATAAAAGAATRTCATACAACTGCTCATAATGATCTATGCTGATGCATGTGTCGCGGAAGGATTCGTAACGAATATCAATTGCCCAATGCTATCACGCAAAAATGTTGTTGTCCTGTAAGAACTGTGGCAAGGATGTTCGTATGCCCCAAAGATTTTGGCATATATTGATGGAAATTCAGTGCTTGTATCAAAAACGACAAAGAATCTTACATTTAAAGATGGAAACTCGTTGCATGAAATACTAAGGGGTTTTGTCGTTGGTGGGGCTGGAGGTGATGATGATGAAGAAGGTCTGRTGGTGATGATACTAATTATGATAATAATGGTGTTGGTGATGATGATGATGACAATGATGATCGATGATGATAATGATGGTGGTAGTGCGATTGTAGCAATGGCAATGGATGGTGATGCTGGTGAAGAAGTTGGTGGTCTGGTGGTGATGATACTAATTATGATAATAATGGTGTTGGTGATGATGATGATGACAATGATGATCGATGATGATAATGATGGTGGTAGTGCGATGGTAGCTATGGCAAGGGATGGTGATGATGATAACTTCTAGCTTATTCTTTTACCACTTTATTACTACCATTAGTCCTACAATAGAGCTTTTGCACCATCACGTGCCTGCGCCATAATCCAGCTTGGACTGCCTGTTGTTAGATGGCAGAACAATAAAATCCCTCTGCTCTTGGGCATTTAATTCGTTCTCATGTAAAACGATTGTATTGTTCCTGCCATCTAACATGGCTGCTGTCTCATGATGGTGCAAAACCTCTATAGGACACTTGCATTATGGCGACATTTACGACCACTTTCTTTTGTTCAGTTAATTAGCATCAATTGTCTTACTATTCTCATTAGGAAATACAAATCCGAATAAGAAAGTAAATTTGCAAAGCATTTTTGGTAGTAAGATGACGCTATCATGCATTCGGCCTATATTACAATGCCACGTGAAATCTTACCTGCCACACAGCCATACATGTCGAGTCTAATAGCAGGACGAATATGCCAGGTGATGGGATGTATTCTCACGTATCTTCCAATGAGACTTGGATTAATTTCATTATAAACTACAGCCGCCCTATCTTTATTACCTTGATAGACCTAAATTAAACATCGTTTCAACATTTTAAATTATAGAAAGTGTCACATTGTGCAACAGTCCTAATTCGTTACGTTACAATGTTTTCCCATTTCAGACCACGTTTTCTTTCCAAGAGAAAAACATTATTTGATTGTTTTTGTATCCATATATTTATGCATTTTCTTATGTGAAACCGAGTGTAACCGTTAAACAAAGAAATGACACTCTTGAGAATGACACGTGGTCTGAAATGGTAAAAACATTGTAACGCAATGAATTAGGTCTATTGGTCTCGCAATTTTTTTGACGATAAAGAATAAAACAGTGTGATGCAGTAGCATAGGTAAGGTATGCTAACTATATAGGCAATGATCATTTGTGTTGCGTAAAAGTCCTTCAAACCAACTGAAACCTTTACCAAAGTGATGAAACGCTAAAAACAACATTTCAGATAAGTTTCAAAGTTCTCATTCACAATATTCCTGTACATTATAATAAGCGGATGAACCAGGGCCGTAGCCACCAGTATGGCGGTCCGGTTTTAACTGCACCACTTTTTTTACCTTCAGAACTTTTCCCCCCTAACCTGCAGTAAAATGGGGGACATAAAAAAACCTGTTGAATTATTCGTGAAGAGTAGGGGATTGTCTCCCGGTTCAGCAGCGTATCCCAATCTGGAGGCATAATACTAACATACTAACAAATCACTCATGATTATAAGCTGCACGGCTGCTACAAGCGCCTTAATATTCAGCCCGTAAATTCCTCCACTGCTCTTGTAAAGCGCCATGGAACTCCTGGAAATGGCGCGATATAAATTCATCAATTTACCCTTTACCCTTTACGTACACTGCTTTGTAACGGCTACCCAGACACACATAGTTTGGAAATTCTTCATTACCTTCATATTCCCATTGATTCTGTACCAGTCAAAGGTTATCCCAGTCTGACTATAAGAAACACTGTAACTTGTGACAAAATGATCATTTTCTCCAAAATTGCCATGCCTTCCTTGTGTTGCAATCTTAGTCACCATGACTACGGTCCCAAAATCTATTTGGAGCCATGGATTGTTATCTTCACGTTCGGGAATCCATGCCCCTAATCTACCTCCTTCCTCGACCGTATACAGACGAGCACGATGTGGAGAGTCTAGAGACGAGGAAGCAGTGAGTGACGCGTCTGGGATCCGCCCCCTTTGGATCCCAAGAGAAAAGTCGCATTTTGATGCATTGTCTTTTTCTTCTAAAAAGGAAAGAAACAAAAAACTACTGAAAAAGAGCATTATTGCAATAAAATATATGCATAAATTATTAACAAGACAATACAGGGTTTATGRATTTTTGGTTATTTATTTAGCTAATCTAATCATGTGCACTATAGACACGTGCAAAATACGTGCATGGATATGTAAAGGGGGTATCAATCATTGCTAACCCCTACTAGGATTCTTGGTTGGTCCTTTGTCTTCGCTTTGTGTTCTTCCATGATGGAAAACACATTAAAGATATTACGCATAGTATTAGTACTTTACTCACCTACAGGACATCCAAAGTAGTCCACCCTTAAACATTTTAGGCCATGATACGCCCATGGATATATTCTTATATAACGGGCCACAATAACAGGGTCCAAGTGGTTATAGACTGGAGTGTGTCTGTCAGAGTTACCATTGAATCGATGAGGCTTAAAATACAATTATGAGATCCAATAAGTGTTTGTATTATGAGATCATCGATTACATTTATATTACTGGGTAATAAGGAAAATGCATAGTATGTATAGGGTATGGGCTGCTTCATGCAGAGCTCTATCTTACATATTAAAAGTGATTCGTTAACTGGACTTGATTCTTGACAGACATTTTTATCGACACCTTGAAACAAACCCTGGCTGATCAAAGTATAAAAGACACGGGTAGCTCACAGATTGAATTGGGATTTATTTGGCTGAAATTGGGCGGGGGGGGGGGGGGGGGGGGGCTCAACCCCCAATATTTATGATGGTGAAATGATTTGAGAGACCCAACAAGCTGTACTGCCTTCATGCCGCGCCGAGTGCACGAATGATACCTGAGACGGTGAGAGTCGAGTGCACTAAAAACAAACTTACTTTCCCGTTCTTGTAATACCACTGCAAGCTTCCTCCTTGTTTCGCATAACGCAGATAATAGGTCTCAACCCAAAAGTCTAGTTCCTGTTTTCCTTGAGTTGCAACCATTGTGACATACATATCTTGTCCCAAGTCAACCATAAGCCATTGATAGCCGCTTGAAGAACCCCTACACCACCCTCCAGTGTAGATAGTCGAGCTGTAATGGTCTGCAAGGAAAAGTCGTCCCCGTCGAGGTGCTGTTCTGTATCTATAAAATGACGAAGCTGTGATTTTTGAATCCGGGATTTTGAAATTCTGCATTCCAAGGGATTGAATGCATTTTGGCACAGGAGGCGGAATGAAACCTGTTTGTAAAAAAAAAAAAAAAAAAACAGTTTAGCTAGTCTTCCTCGTCTTTTTAAGACAATATGGGATGTCGATGGCGAGGGTACAACTATTGGAAAACATATAGACCTACAGCTTTCAGGGTTTTCATATAACTTTTCAAAAACAAAACACATCTGAAAAGCAATTGAATTTTCTGGCAGTTGTAACAATATACGAAACACCAAGACTTCAAATGATTTGAAAACCTAAGGCCCGCCACTCAATGCTTTTTCAAATTTTCATACGTTTGTCCCCTCGGCATCCCATATTTCAAGATGGCCGCCGTATCAGTAAAAAGATTTCAAAAGATTTTTCAAATACTATTATATTATAATCATTACACTACTWGTATATTTACTTTTGTAAGTAGAATGAGGAATATGATGACATGACACTTCTGATAAGGATAGGTCGTCTACTGCAACTACTGGACCTGTCGATGAGCCTTGAATTGTAACCTGTTACAGGCGAACTCTTATTACACCTTTTGCTGTTCATTAACAGAAAATGTACATTCATGTGTGCCAATAGTTG